TGAAATAATTTTTCATACCATTTATCTTGTGTCATTTGTCCCTTTATTTCTTAAAAACCCACACAAACATAATTTTCACAAAAGTTGGGGTAATTCTATTTTCACACATTAATTCATCTCAGTATACACACTTAATGAACACCTTCTCATGCACACATTATAAAAATATAAATTGTTATTACACATCTCTATATTCCAATATTACCCTCATTTTCAATTTTAAAACCCAAAGGTTATGTTTAGTTTTAGTGTTTGAATCAATTTTTTGAAAATTTTTTGAGAAAATAATAAATTAATTTGACAAAAATAAATACTAAAAAAATATTTTTTAATTTTTAATTTTTTTTTTTCCTGTAGAAAGATAAAACCGTATTGAAATGAGAAGTTTTTATTTATTTATTTTTGAAAACAAACGCTAAAACTAGATTAAACATTGCGCTTTTTTTTTTTTTTTCACCCACTCCTTTATTGCTGTTGTCGTCACTTTTAACCCTTCATCACCACTACCACCACCACCTCCACCTCCACTTCTAGCTCATCTGCCTCCATTCTAGACCTCCACAGTCAATCTTGAGTGGTTCGCGATAGAAGATTTGTGGGAGTATATGGTTTATGACGGAAAGTGATCGCTGGCGAAGAGGGAAAGATGCGATGGGAGGGGATGGCGTATGAAAGAGGAAGCGCTAGCAATAGAAAATGATTTTGATGTTTAGAAATAGGGTTTGGATAGAAGAAGATGAGAGTATTATATATCTTTATTTTGGAACAAAGTTATATTGATAAAAATTTTCATTAAGTATATAATCTGAAAAGAATTAATGTGTAGAAATAGAATTACCAAAAAGTTGGCCACTTCACATGGTCAACTAATAGCAATAACAACACACATAGGATTAGGCTGAGCTGCTGGCAATTGCCGTCCAGTCATTTCCTTGAAGTCTAGAATAAAGACAAAAGTATTGTTGACTACTTTTGTGGACAAGAAAAATAATAAGATAAAAAAAGAAAGAAATTGGGTGTTTGGCCCTACTATTATATTATTAATTATTTTTAAATTATTCATAATTGTCTCAAGTTTTGTTTTAAAAAAAAAATTAAGTGGAGTGTCATCTACGTTTAAAAAATAAAATTAAGTAATTGTCCTTCTATATCTATGAAGACATGAGGGTCAAATTATAAAATATATATAATAATAGAAATTTATTTTTCATAATTGGTGTAAATAATAATCACTAGCTTGCAAAGAAAAAAAAAGACGAATAATATCAATTATTTGATCACATTATTTAAAATTTTAATATCAATTCTATTATAAATATTTTAATCATATTTTAGATTGTCTTACATTTATTGTCTTTTATAAATCAATCATTGTGGATTAAAAAAAAAAAAACACTTATATATATATATATATTTATCTATTTTTCATATCAATTTTTCTGTTTTTTCAATTTCTATGACCAGAAAAATTGATATTTCAGTTCATACATTTTTTCCTTGTAAATTTTTGTTGGTATTAATGTTCACCCCTCAACATTGAAATCTAATTCCATTAAATCTGATTCACGTATTATTTTTATTTTTGTAATTTTATTCATAAATATTTTTATTTTTTCACTATCTAGAAGTATTGATGTGAATAGGCCATCTACTCCTCCAATAGCTGAAAGGTATGGTAGTTGGTCTTCCTTCAACTTGTCAAATATATAATTATATCAGCAATTCTAGAACTATAAACCTACAATATTGTAACCAAACTCTGAATGCATATACGATCATAGCAAGCTAATCAAATGTGTTACATGTATTGAGTGAAGCCAAAACCAGAAAAAGAAAAGAAAAAAAAAAAAAGTAGTAAAACATATGGCAGAAGTTGCAGTATGCTCAACTATCAACAATTTGGAGGGACTGTTAGTGCATGATGAACCAAAATTGTTGAGGAAGGTCCACAGACACTAGAGCTCAAATTAGAGCTCTAGATTTAGAGCTCTCTAGCATTTCCCTAGCAAGCTAATCAAATGTGTTACATGTATTGAGTGAAGCCAAAACCAGAAAAAGAAAAGAAAAAAAAAAGTAGTAAAACATATGGCAGAAGTTGCAGTATGCTCAACTATCAACAATTTGGAGGGACTGTTAGTGCATGATGAACCAAAATTGTTGAGGAAGGTCCACAGAGAAGTTTCCATTATCAAAGCTGAATTGGAGAGCATAAAATCAGTACTAAAAGATGCAGATTGGAGGGCTGAAAGAGGAAACGAAAACGCAGAAACTTGGGTGAAACAAGTTCGAGAGTTGGCTCAACAGATTGAGGATGTCTTCGATCAATACACGATTCACTTGTCAGAACGTCGTCAGCGTAGCGGCTTCATCAATTTTCTCAACAAAGTCACTCGCTCGATCGTTAAACTAAAGCCACAACATGACATAGCCTCTAAGATTCACGAAATTAAACAAACCATTGTTGAGATCAAGAAAAAGGCTGGTGGGTATGAATCATCAAACAGTGAAACTGATCAAGAGGATCCTCGTGTCGCTTCGCTTTTCGTGGAGGAAGATGAAGTTGTGGGTATTGCATACACCAGAGAAGAATTGGTTGACATGTTGGTAAGTGGAGAGACAAATCGGATGGTGATCTCGCTAGTAGGTATGGACGGGGTTGGAAAGACCACTCTTGCTAAGAAAGTTCACGACAATCAAAAAGTGCTTGCGCATTTTGATTGTCGTGCTTGGATCACTGTTTCTCAATCATACAAGATAGAGGAGATCCTCAGAAAGATGATAATGAAGAAAAACACAGAACCAGTATTTCTTGATTTATTATTCAACTCAATCTATTTTCAATCAATACAAATTCCAGTAGTCCTTTCTCTATATATACAAGAAGAAGATAACTAACTCTTAACTAACTAACCACCTAACAAACTATCTAACTAACTGAAGCACATGATCAGATATAGCTGCAGTACAGGAATGATGCAATGAGACCTTAGCTAGCTTCATGACCTCTTTGAGCTGTCTTGATCTGTTGAACTGAAAACTAATCTGTGATGATCTGCAGAGTTAGTATCTGCAGAGTTAGGATCCTCAACATCCCCTTGCAAGCGAATGGGGGAAGATGGACACAACATGAGCTTGGCTTTAAGATACAAAAAACGAGAAACAGAAAGGGGCTTAGTGAAGATGTCAGCCAGCTGATCAATGGTAGGAATATACTGAAGAAGCAACTTCTTAGCCAGAACTTGATCACGCACGTAATGACAATCTACCTCAATGTGTTTAGAGCGTGAATGAAAAACAGGATTGGAAGCTAAGGCAAGTGCAGAAACATTATCACACCAAAGGGTAGGAAGCACTGGCGAGACAACAGATAAATCTTGAAGAAGCATGCCAATCCAAGCTAACTCAGCAGCAGTATGAGCAAGAGATCGATACTCGGCCTCAGTCGAAGAGCGGGACACGGTTGGTTGCTTTTTAGCTGACCAAGAGACAAGATTACTACCCAGAAAAATGCAGTAGCCGGAGGTGGATTTAAATACTAAAAGATGCAGATTGGAGGGCTGAAAGAGGAAACGAAAACGCGGAAACTTGGGTGAAACAAGTTCGAGAGTTGGCTCAACAGATTGAGGATGTCTTCGATCAATACACGATTCACTTGTCAGAACGTCGTCAGCGTCGCGGCTTCATCAATTTTCTCAACAAAGTCACTCGCTCGATCGTTAAACTAAAGCCACAACATGACATAGCCTCTAAGATTCATGAAATTAAACAAACCATTGTTGAGATCAAGAAAAAGGCTAGTGGGTATGAATCATCAAACAGTGAAACTGATCAAGAGGATCCTCGTGTCGCTTCGCTTTTCGTGGAGGAAGATGAAGTTGTGGGTATTGAATACACCAGAGAAGAATTGGTTGACATGTTGGTAAGTGGAGAGACAAATCGGATGGTGATCTCGCTAGTAGGTATGGGCGGGGTTGGAAAGACCACTCTTGCTAAGAAAGTTCATGACAATCAAAAAGTGCTTGCGCATTTTGATTGTCGTGCTTGGATCACTGTTTCTCAATCATACAAGATAGAGGAGATCGTCAGAACGATGATAAAGCAGCTATACCAATCAAGAAATGAGTCTCCACCTCTGGGAATCGATGCTATGGACCAAAACTCGCTCACTGACAACATCAGAGGATATTTACTTCAAAAGAGGTATGAAATTGTTTTTGATGATGTTTGGAGAACAGACTTTTGGAGATTCATAAAACATGCTTTACCTAAAAATAGCAAAGGAAGTAGGGCAATTATAACCACGCGCAACAAAGAAGTTGCTAGTTTTTGCAAAGAATCTTCACTTGATTATGTCTATGAGATTCAACCCCTACCTGAAAACGAGGCTTGGAGACTCTTTTGTATGAAAGCCTTCCAATGGGACTTTGGGGGTGTTTGTCCCTCCGAATTGGAGAAAGTATCTCGCGAGATTGTTAGAAAATGTGAAGGATTACCGCTTGCAATTGTGGCAATAGGCGGTCTGCTGTCCACTAAAATTAGGGTTGTTTCCGAATGGCAAAAATTCTATGATAGCCTTGGCTCTGAGTTAGAAAGGAATCCTAATCTTACAAGCATAAAAAAAATTGTGTTGCTTAGTTACCACAATTTGCCTTACTTCCTCAAACCATGTTTCTTGTACTTCAGTATAATACCCGAGGATTATTCTATCAATTGTGGAAGACTAGTTCGACTTTGGATGGCAGAGGGTTTCATTGAAGAACAAAAAGGAAAAACATTGGAAGAAGTTGCAGAAGAATACTTGATTGAGCTCATCCTTAGAAACTTGGTTCAAGTGTCAAGTACAAAAATTGATGGAAGAGTTAAGAATTGTCGGATTCACGATGTAGTGCGTGAGATCATCCTCTCAAAGTCCGAGGAGTTGAGTTTGCCATGTTTTAGCAGACGAGGATTCAAGTCTCAATAATCAAAGTCGACGACTATCAATGCATATGAAGAACATAATGGATAAGGTTCAGGAAAGCACACATATTTCCCGAATTCGTTCTTTTTTTCTTTTTGCAGTGGTAGAGCTGCCAAACAAGTCCTGGTTGGGTGAACTAGCTGCAAATTTCAAGCTTTTAAAAGTACTAGATCTTCAAGATGCTCCTCTAGATCAACTACATGAAGAAGTGGGGAATCTACTTCATTTGCGATACCTAAGTGTGAAGAATACAAGTGTGAAGACAATTCCAAAGTCTATTGGTAAGCTACAAAACCTGCAAACTTTGAATTTGAGACGCTCTCTCGTGTTTGAGCTACCAATCGAGATCAATAGGCTCCATAAGTTGCGACATCTTCTAAGCGTTTTTTTTAACTATGATATTGATATAAGTGTGGATACTATAAGAGGAGTGAAGATAAAAGGAGGGATAGGGCGTTTAGAACAGTTGCAAAAGTTGTTTGGTGTGGAGGCACATGAAGAAGAAGAAGAATGGGGCAACCTTGTTCTTAAAGAGCTGGAAAATTTGAGGCAGTTGAGGAAGTTTGGCGTATCCAAAGTGAGAAGAGAAAATGGGAGGGTTCTTTGTGCTGCCATTGAGAAGATGAAACACCTTAGGGTTTTGGCGATACGGGCTAAAAGTGAAGATGAGATTATGGATTTACATTCTCTCTCTTCACCACCTGAATATCTTGAACGTCTCTACGTGGGGGGATATTTAGTGACGTTGCCAGATTGGATCCCAAAACTACAACATCTATTCGTAATACGTCTACACTGGACAGGTTTGAACGCTAATGCAATAAAATCCCTTCAAGTGTTGCCTAATTTACTAAAGCTTGATATCTATCAGGGTTATGATGGACAGAGATTGCATTTTGAGGTTGGAGGGTTTCAAAAACTTAAGGCGTTATATCTACAAGGCTTGAAGCGATTGAATTCCATGGTAATAGAGGATGGAGCGTTGCATCTTCTTGAAGAACTATGGATTGGGCCTAGCCCGCAACTGAAGGAGGTACCCTATGGCTTCCACCACCTCAAAAGACTCGCAGCTCTTTCCTTTTATGACATGCCAATAAAGTTCTTAGGTAGAATGCAACCGGACGAAGGAGAAGACTTTTGGATTATTCAGCATATACCCGATATCAAGTTTTCGTTCAAGTCTAGAGGATTATACTACAAAACCTATAGTCTTCAAGATTTCCAAGTCGCACGTGAAAGACAAAGGTCTGAGTAAAGCTCAAAAAGCCAAAAATGTCAATTCAAGGTTTGCTCCATAAATTTTCATGCTATACAATTAATTTCTCGGTTCATGAATAATTTCTCTCGATATGTTTTGATATTATAGATGAACTTGATTTAACCACTATAAATCCAATTTAGGGAACATAATTCATTCTTGGATTTGAAACTTGGATGAACTCCAATTCAGGTTCCACGATGCTAAAGACAACGAATTTCTTTTGTCAAGGTTTTTCTCTAAAACATTTAAAAGTATTTTCTCTAAAAACTCTAAAATCTGAAACATTTTTTTTAGTATTTTTAATATGATATGTTTTTTATTTTTATTTTAGTTCTTTCCATTGTTAATGTTTGTTGCGTTTTTTGTCATAGGAAATATAGATGTGCATCAAAGTTGATAGATTCTGGTCTTACCACCAACACATACGGTTGAAGGAAATTCAGTTGGTATTCATCAAAATTGTCTGATGAATACCTCTCTGCCCACTGCTGGTTTTTATTTTCATTTGGTTGGTTTTTTACAGCGTGAAAATAGAAAAAAATGGCATCTCCTTCCCTCCCTCCAAAATCAACATGGTTGTTTCTTATGTTTTATTATTATTGTTGTTGTTGACCAAGAAAACATGTGTGGATTTCTCTTAGCATGCCTTGTTATTTTTAATAACTATGTAATGTTTGATTTAGACAAAGATAATAAGATCATCCAATCCTTTGTTGTAACATAATTGCACTATGTTCTATTTCTTTTTCTGATCTTTTATTCTGCAATCATTCTATGTATTTTTTTTGTTTGACATTATGTAGTTCACACAAATAATTCATCTAGTTTCAATCGACTTTAGGAGATGCATTGATCAATTGTGAATTTTTATTATAACCAAACTGGTTCTACCTTACTTTTCTTTTTCTAATTATTCACACAACAGGATTCTAGCTAGGTGTCATGACATAAGAGTATACTGTTATCATTCTAGCTAGGTGTCATGGCTTAAGAGCGCAATCTTAGAATTTATTAGGAGACAAAAAGACTTTTAGCAATATTAAAAGGGCAAGATAGGTTTTGGAAAGTTAAAATCTGAAGCTTGAAAATGCAGATTGCAGAAGACAAATAAAAAGTGCTGTAGTTTGAAGAAGTGAAAAATATGCATCTTGGAAATTTATTTGTAGAAGAGAAATTTGTCTACCACAGGTCATTGTAAAACTTTTTTTAATAACATCTAAAGGGGATGGAGTGAAGTTTTGGAAACACAAGTGGAGTTGAGAAGGGGCTCTTGATAGAGCCTTTCTTGCTATTTTCTTCTTCTTGTTGACAACTAAGAGTCATAGATACGGGCACGCGACACGATAGCTTTTAAAATATGCAAGACATGACATGTAGGGAGACACAAAATGCATAGTTTAGATAGTTATTATATGTCATTTATATGAATATCTTATTCACTAATAAATACAGAACAACAAAACTCTAACTCTTGAGGTCAAAAGGAGGGATTAATCTGCATAAATCTGCTATGTTTTTCATTTATCATTGTGTGACTAGGTACTTATCTAACAAAAATAAATCATTATTTGTAAGTGATTAATACACTTGTTCAACCGTTCAAAGTGTGTCCAAATCTTAAAAAATAAACAAATAATACAATACTTGTTGGGTAGCAATTGATTGAGTGTCGACACTCCACCTTAGGAGTATTTGTGCATCTTGGGTTTGACAAAGAAGCCTTGATGGTAGATTATGTTAGGGGTGTGGGTAGAGATGGCTTTTGAGATGTTGGGTTGAGGAGGAATTTGCAAAAAAGGGATTGGGTATTTCATAGAGATGTGAAGGTATTTTGCGTAGTTGGTGGGGATTGTGGAGGCAGGGTGGGTAAGCAAAGCAGAATTCGTGGTGTTTAGCTCCATTGTGCTTGATGCTATTTAGGAGCATTTTACAAGAGGACCTTCACAAGAGTAGAATGACCTAAGAAGTATATAGATATGGAGTTATGGATATGTGAATATTTAAAATTTTAAAAAATATAAGATACGAAATGCATTGTTCTATGATTAGATGAGGAGTTTTCAGTAGTTTTTGATGAATCCTTTGTTTTAATAAGCAAAACTTCCGCCAAAGAAATGATTTGTATTAATCTACGCTCTCCACCTAATAGCATGGATTTGGGTATTAATTTGCCCTTATTCACAAAGAGAAGATGTAGGTTCCTATCCATTTTTTGGGCTTGAATTTGTTCTTCTTTTTTATTCATTTAATTGTTGATTTATTGCAAAATATATGTTATATATATTTGTTTATATCATTATTGAAGGTTAGGGCCCATTTGTCTCTTCCCTAAGCGATCCATGTGAGCAGAGAAGGAAATAGGGGTGAACAACCCTTAGAAAGTGTCGTGTGACTTATGTTCTAGAAATCCTACAATGACCGAAATCTCAGCCGGAAGAGGAATTCAGCCGGCCTTTCCCTATTCGGCCAGCCCCATTTTGTGTTTAATCAGATGATTACCTCAAGAACAGAGCAGACAGTTTCTAGGAAGTGTTTCCTAGGGTGGTTCTGGAGCTGCTGATCAATTTCCTTTGCGTATTTTAAATGTGCCAAATATATAATTTTACAAATTTATTATATGTTATATATTTGAATATTATATATTTATTCTCATTAAATTTATTAACTTTGGGTATGTTGCTCTAATGATTTAAATAATTATAGTAAATAAATAGGACATTGTGTGTCCCCATGGCTCTTCCTCTCATGTCCGATACCCGTATGTGACCTCAGGGAGGTGTTCGTACTTTATAGATGCCTCTATATAGGCTTAAGGTAGTAGTATTATTATTGTTTTGGTTATTAGTCTTTTTTGTATAGTTGGTTGACAAGGAAGGTTATGCCTAACATAGATAATATTTTGTGAATTCTTTTTACTTATAAAAGTTTTAGGCCTTTTTTTTTTTATTTTGTGAGAAATTATCTAATGTTCTTGCAGTAATACTCCATGCTAGGGGTGTGTGCGGTGTGGTTTAATATGATTTGACGATAAAAATATAATCAAATCGTAATCAAACTGCTTTCAACCTATTAATCGATTAGTGTAATATATATAAAAAATATTATGTAAAATAATCTGTTAAATTTAATAAATTCAGTAATATATGAATATGCATAAATATGTATGTATCTATTTAAAAAAAAAAAGAAGAGATAGAGAGAGAGTGACAAGAGTTTAATATTGAGATAGAGCAAAATCTCACCATTACAAAGCAGTCATTGAAATGGGTGCTCAACGACTCTGCTTTGCATATTCATCTTTATTTGTAGAACGACTATGCGGTAGTCATATTCATCTTTATTTGTCATTCATATATGGCAAATCACAAATCAATAGCAAGATCCAATGAAAAGATGACAAATCAATTGAATTTGGAACTTACATGCCTTGAAATCAATAGAGGCGCGTGTGAGAGAGGTGAACGCAACTGTCAGTGAACACATACTTGGTTTGGACTGATGAGTAATTTGGTGAACAATAATGAAAAAAGAGAACTTCATTTTATATTTAAGTTTATGAATTTGGTAATAAATGGTGAAAAAAATATTTTCTTATTTGTCTATTTTATTTTGGGTAAACTATTAATAGGTGATAATAGTTGAATTTAATTCCCATCAAGTACTATTTAAAATAAGTCTTAATAAAATTGTCGTTGAAAATAATTTTTTTAAATCTTTTGTATGTCAGTGTCACTAAAAATTGACAATTAGTGATTTTTTTGTCACAATTTTTATAAATTGTGGCTAAAAACTTACAATTAGTGACTTTTTTTGTGACAATTTTTAAATTGTCGTTGAAAGTTAAAAATTAGTGACTTTTTTTTTTGTGACAGTTTTTTTAAACCGTCGCTAAAACTTATAATTAATGACATTTTTTGTGACAATTTTTAAATTGTTGCTGAAAATTAACAATTAGTGATATTTTTTAATAAGGTATGATGAAAAATGTCATTAATTATCATAGGACTTATTGAACTAGTATAGCTATTAGTACCTACATGTAAGTCTCCTTTTTATTTATTTTTTTACCAAAAGTGGTAAGATTTAGGCCCTGTTTGGTAGAGCTGTGGGAAAGTGCTTATAGCTTATGCCTTAACAGCATATAGCTTATAACTATGAACATAAGCTGATTTCTGACTTATAAATTAAGCATCTCCTGCCCCACTCAAAGAATAAGCTGATTTATGACTTACAAAAAGCTATAAGCTGCATTGTTAAGCTAAACCAAACACATCAAAATAGCTTAAATTAAGCTGAAAGCTGAAATAAGTAGCTTTTAAGCTGCACCAAACAGGTACAAGATTTAGTAAGGAACATGTCCATTAATTATGAAATATTTATAATACTAAGATTATCCCTTAAAGAAAAAAAATAAATCTTGTTTATATCTCTCTAATATGTTTTACTTTCCTATTTATCTAAATGTGATAATGAGAAAATGTAGCTAATTTTTTTTTTTTTTTTTGTCCTAACGAAATTTCATTTCCCCCCCTAAACTATATCCCTCAAATCAATTTCATACTCGAACTTTTGATATTGTCAATTTACCACCTCATATTTAAATCATGATCAATTTGCCCATTGTCGTCACATTTAAATGGAAAAAGTTAAAAAAAAAATTACAATTTGGCCCTTAATTTCAAATTGTAGATCCAAACTCACCATTTCTAGTTTCCTCTCTCACCCAAACTACTCACTCTCATCTCTCAACCAAACAACCATCACCACAACACCATAACCATCATTAGTCGCGCCACCGCCACCACACACTCTAGATTTGTCATCCTCTTAACCACAAACCATCACCAAATTTTATCACCAACAATATGGAGTGTTCAAGATCCAAAACCTTCAAACCTTGATTCAAAAAATAGTTTTGTTAAAGAATAAAATGTAGCTTTTCACTAATCCACCTCCATCAAATCCACACATGTTATGTGGCTTAAGCAATTACT